CTTGCCACCCTGCTTCCCTCCCCCAGGGCCTCCACAGCCCAGTGGGTGTGACCCAGCACTGCAGGGCAGAGCAGGGCTGCACAGGGATGCTCCTTGCCACTGCGAACTCTGTGCTGTCCTGGCAAGGTGTCCCCTTCCTGTGCAGCAGCAGTGAGGGGCAAAACCCTACATTACTGCCCCCTCTGCTGCCACATGGGCAGGGGATTCCTTGCCAGTGCAGCACAGAGCTCACAGCATCAAGGAGCTTCCCTGCACTGAGCTACAGAGGCCATTGGGGAGGGCAGCAGGGTGGGGAGCCTGAGCCCACAGTGAGGAGCCCACACCTACCCTCCCCCCACTCTTCACATAGATCTGTGGGGCACAGGTCCCCCCTGCTCCCCTGGAAGTGCATGCAGTGGTGGAGAACCAGCCCCACTCCTCACCCCCCAAGATGAGCAACCTGTAGCCCTGTGCCGCTCCCTGCCAGGGCCCTGTAGCTGTGCATTCTAGTCCTGGGCCCAAAGCCGCACGCACCCCCTGGCTGGGCAGCAGCCACAGCCCCAGCCCTGCCCAACTCCCTCCCTCCCTCCCTATGTGGGCCTCAATCCTCCCTCTCCTCCCAGACTTACCCATGGAAACTGCTTTTCAGGCTGACCCCTGCCAGACTGCCCTACTCCCACACACCCCCAGCCCCTTGCAGGCTGGAGCTCTGCCAGCCTGCAGACAGCTGTTTGCAAAAATGTGAAATCTGCAGGTTTCACTGTTAAAAATAAAAATCTGCAATTTCCTTGGGAAAAGGGGGAAATCCATGTTTTTCTCCATTTTTGCATGGGAAACAGAAAACCTGGATTCCTGCTGATTACTATCCAAATGAAAATATGTTCTTTTTCCAAAGTCCCTATAACCTGAAGCTGTAAGACATGCTATAGTGATGCTACCAACTAGCTAATGATGCTAAAGAGGGTAGCTTGGTAAATATAATCAAGAAATAACAAATGAGCAGTCCATTCTTAAGGGGATGCCTGAAATAGGAGATGGAATGACAAAGGCAAAAAGAACAAAATGGAAGGAATCAGGCTTAGTGGCAAGGAAAAATAAGAGCACTTCTTTACTCCTTCCCACATCATGATGACAGGATCTTCATGGGGCCTCAGTAAGAGATGACAATACAGGTGAGGAATACTAGATGCTATCATCAAACAAGGGTTGAGGACTCTAGGTAAGTGTTCGCACAGTAAATCTGCCTTAAATTAATAATACCACATGCCACCAAATACTCTGGTTTCTTTAGATACTTTTGAAGTTTCATAATTATTTGAACCCAGCTCCAGTGAGAGATGCACCAGAGAGAGATGCATTGGCTCCAGTGATAGATGCACCAGTTTGGATCCGGCCCTGGTGAGAAATGTACAGGCAGAAGCCCATCACACCCCTGTTGAGCCCAGGACCCCTAGAACCACCAGCACACACCCAGCAGACCCTGACCCCCAGAGTTGCTGGGAGGTGGGTGGGTGCTAGGCAGCTGAGAGGATCAGAGGAGGGTCATCCCCCCCCTGGGATCCTACTTGGCCCAGGCCCCAAGTACGTGCTCCTGCTCAGCCTTCCCCTCCATAGTGAGGGACTAGGGGAAGGCGGGCGCACTTACCTGCCCCCTTCTCCAGTGAGACAGGGACAGGGACCCCCAGCCACTGAATGGTAGAGCTCTGGCAGCAGGCCCTACTGCACATGTGCAGAGTTTAAAAAGGGCCTGCCAACAGCAGAAGTTGCAGTTTGGACCTGGCTCTGGTGAGAGACTCACAGGCAAATGCCCACTGCATGCCCATTGAGCCCTGGACCCCTAGGACCTCCAGTGCACACCTGGACCTCAACTCAGCCCCCCAGCACTACCAGGAGGTAGGTGGGCCCTGCAGTGGTTGGGTGCTAGGCAGCTGAGAGGAGCTGAGGAGGGTCTATCTGGCTCCTACTTGGCCCAGCCCCCCAGGGAGCCATGCAAATAGAATGTACAAACAGGTGCATTCTAGGCCCAGCATGTGAGTTCGTACCAGAGTTCATGCAGGAGGGTGAGCAGGAGGGGCACGAGGCTCTAGGTAGTGAGCCTGAAGACAGGGGTTGGCACAGCAGTACCTGTGCAATGGTGGGAGGGACGCATCACACCCTGAAATTCCCCCCTTCATCTAGACCCCTCCTGCTCTGGTACTACTGAGGCCTCCACCCAGACAGAGCCTGTGGTCCCAGCCTCTACCCAAATGGAGCCTATGGTCCCTGCCCACACCTGGGCAGAACCCATGGCCCCATACTCCACCCAGACAGAGCCCCTGGCCTCCAGCTTTGAAGGCTACCTAGAACGGATGCAAGCAGCTGGGTTTAGGAGCAGTGACACATCCCCTTGTACAGTGTGCTCAACAGTTGAGGCCCTAGAGTGCCAGATTAGGGAGCTCCAGGCAGCAGTGCAGAGGCTGCACACTAGTGGGGATATAGAACAGGAACTGGATGCCTATTACCATGCTCTCCACCAAAAGAACAAAGTGGAAAGAGTAAGGATGGCTGGCAATGCCAGGGCAGAAATGAAGAGCCACCATGAAGTCCAGCCAGGGGTTGCCTGGACTAAGATAGTCTCCAGCTCAAGGAGGCACTGCACCAGGGTTACCACTCACTTGGAGCTACACAAATGATTCAGACCCCTTACATTAGCAGAGCCAGCCAAGCCACTGGCTCCAGCATGTGACAATGGAGGGCCACCAGCAACCACACCCAGGAGAAAGCACAAAGTAATTACAGTGGGCATCTCCCTCTTGAGGGGGGACACAGGGATGATCTATCACCCTGACCCCTTAGCCCATGGGATCTGCTGCCTCCCAGGAGCTCATGTCTGGGGTGCAACTGAGAAGATCCCCAAACTCATCTGGCCCCCTGACCACCATCCCATGCTACTCATCCATGTGGGAATGAATGATACAGCTTGGAACAATCCCAGACAGGTCATAAATGACTACAGGGCTCTGGGGACTGGGCTCAAGAGTCTGGGGGTGCAGGTAGTGTTTTCCTCGATTGTCCCAGTCATGGATCATGGGCATCAGAGGGAAAGGTACATCAAAGAAGTTAACAGAAGACTCTAACAATGGTGCCATCGCAAGGGGTTCCGCTTCTTTGACCACAGTCTGCACTTCAGGGAAAGAGGCAGCAGATTGTTGGGATGGCCTCTACCTTACCCTGAAAAGGAAGAAGCTCTTCTTGGCCACAATGGCTGACCTACTTGACAGGGCTTTAAACTAGGATAGCTGGGGAATGTGCAGTAATTTAACAGTTCAAGCCCAGGTCATGTCAACCATAGTATTAACAGGTTAGGTAGCCCAAGGGAACCTACTCCAATGACAGTCCAAGCAAAGGTCATGTCTCAGCACACAGGGAAGCCCAGGGCTTCCCATGGCAGGCTCAGCTGCCTGTACACAAATGCCAGGAGTTTGGGAAACAATCAAGAAGAACTGGCCCTTCTCCTCCTGAGCAACAAAGATTATGATCTCATAGGGATAATGGAGACCTGGTGGGACTCCACCCACAACTGGTCCATAAGTATAGAAGGCTATACCTTGTAGAGAAGAGACTGTGTTGGAAGGAGGGGTGGGGGTGTAGCTCTTTACATGAAGGAGCAGTACACTTCCCTTCAAACCAAGTTTAGCAACCAAGGAGGGCATCCTGAGATGCTCTGGGTTAAAATACAGGGAAAGTATGGAGAAGGGGATATAACTGTAGGAGTCTATTGCAGACCTCCCAACCAAGAGGATGAGCTGGATCATGAATTCAATAGGGAACTGGCTGAGGCTGCACGCTCCCGATGCATAGTTGTCATGGGTGACTTCAACCTCCCTGACATCTCATGGGAAGAGCATACAGCCAAATCTGACTGGTTGCATAGCTTCCTCACTTACATTGATGAGCTCTGCTTAATGTAAGAGGTCTACGGGCTGACTAGAGGACAGGCACTGCTGGATCTGGTTCTGGCCAAAGGGGATGATCTGGTGAGCAATCTGAGGATCGAAGGGAAGCTTGGTGACAGTGATCAGGAACTGATCACTTTCTCTGTCCAATGTAGGGCAGGAAAATCTCTCAGTAAAACAGAAATCCTCAAATTTGGAAAAGCTGACTTTCACAAACTCAGGAGACTGGTCAGCCAGGCACTAAGAAACCATGGCCCTTCAGAAAGGGGAGTCCATGAGGAATGGTTGTTCCTTAAGAATGCAATCCTCAAAGCACAAGGAAAGTCCATTCCATCCCACAGGAAATGCAGGCAGTGGGCTGGGGAACCCCTTTGGCTCAGTAGGGAACTTTTGGACCTCCTAAAACTAAAAAGAGAAGCCTACACCAGATGGAAAATGGGAATCACCACCAAGGACAACTACACAGCACTAGCCTGCACCTGTAGAGAGTGGACCAGAAAAGCCAAGGCAGATATTGAACTCAGGCTAGCCACAGGAATCAAGGACAACAAAAAGTCGTTCTTCAGATGTGTGGGAAGTGGGAAAAAGAACAAAGGCAACACTGGACCCCTGCTAAATCAAATGGGGCAGCTGATGTCTGACGCTCAGGAAAATGCCAATCTCCTAAATGGTTACTTTGCATCGGTCTTCCACCTGCCCAAGGGGGTCACCCTATCAGACAAAATCCAAAGCATCCAGGGGGGCAGGAGATGGGCCCTCCAGTCATGCTGGAGGACAGGCTGGGGATACAGGCAGACTTGGACAGACCTGCAAGGTAGGTGGACCAAAACCTGATGGCATTCAACGTAGAGAAGAGCAGGGTACTCTACCTTGGGAGAAAAAACCAGCACCATACTTATAAGCTTGGCAGTGTGATGAATGCTAGGACCACAACCAAAAGTGACTTGGGGGTCTTGATTGACCACAAGATAAATATGAGCCACCAATGTGTTCCCATAGCTAGCAAAGCAAACCAAACTCTGGCATGCATCCGCCAAGGCATCTGAGGGACATCATCCTCCCACTTTACTCTGCCTTAGTGAGGCCATAGCTGAAGCACTGTATCCAGTTTTGAGCCCCCCACCTCAGGAGGGATGTGGAGAAGCTTGAGAGAGTCCAAAGGAGAGCCGTCCACATGATCCAAGGCCAAGACAGCAAGCCTTACAAGCAGAGGTTGAGGGGCTTGGGTCTCTTCAGCCTGGAGAAGAGAAGGTTCAGGGGGGACATGGTGGCAGCCTATAAGAATATAAGTTGTGTGCACCAGGATCTGGGAGAACAGTTGTTCCAAGGGATAACAAGGTCTAAAGGCCACAAACTTCTGGAAGGTCAATTTAGACTAGACATAAGGAAAAACTTCTTTACAGTCCGAGTGTCCAGGGTCTGGAACAAATGCCCCAGAGGTTGTGCAAGCACCTACTCTGGGCTCATTCAAAAAACATTTGGATGCTTATCTTGCTGGGATCATTCGACCGCTGCAGATTTCCTGCCTATGGCAAGGGGGCTGGACTCAATCTCATGAGGTCCCTTCCAGCCGCTAATGTCTATGAAGTCTATGAAATTATTGTGTTGAGAGTACAACAACACTGCTAGAGCTATACCTTAACTCTTCCCTAACAACACAATATCACTGATAATTTTCCTATTATCCAATACTAATCTATATCTGTTGACATACATAAATGCAGTCAGATTAAGTTTTATCAGATAGCTATTGGTCCTTATGCATACATGTTTGCTTTTGATAAAGATAATATTCTACTGGAGCATGGATATATGTTCAGTTAAAAAAATAATGATTATAGAGACTCTTGTGTTCTTTAACGATAAATATCTCAAAGTATGAAAAACGAATTTATCAGTTCATTAAGCATTCAAATTCCCTGCTCCACTGCGGTCACAGCAGTCCATCTGACCTGTGTGTTATGACTGCACAGAGTTGATGAGCAAAGAATCCCTTATCATAATTTTTAAACTTGGCATATATTATGGCTCACTGTTGAAATGATTCTGCTGTTTTATATTTCTTTTCCCATTTATCAAAAAGGATTAGTTTTTAATCCTCTTCATCACTGCACTGAAATAACAAAGCAGTTATTATTCATTCAAGTACAACAAAATATCTCAAAAAATAGGTATAGAGAATATCAAACAAGTCAACAAAATTTATTGTCAACCCCTCTCTCCCCCCCTTCCCCTCCCCTCCCCCCCCCTTCCCATGACTGGAAATACGTTTTGTATGGAAA